CAGCCTCCTTCCTGTCTCAGCATCTCCACTACACATCCGATCTAGAATTCCTGTCTATTTACTGTCTGGTGCACAGGCTTCTCTTGGAGTGCAATTAAAACTTTTTTTTAATTTCCTGCCGCCAAAGGGTGAAAGGCAGGTGATAATAAATGTATTCGTATGAATGTGGACGTGATTATTCATTCGTTTTTACTGTTAGCAAAATATCATCAACCACGGTATTTATGGAACATTTATTAGGAAATCATTGGATGTATAACGGCAACTGATTAACTTTTGGAGTCACCCAAATGCAAGATGGCCACCAAAGCCAACTGACCTTACAAATCACTAAAATGGCTATAGCAGTTATACAGATGTTGAGTTGAACTTTGGTGTTGTAGAAGTGGAGTGTCATGCCCATCACATGCTCCGAGTCATCAAGTCAACTATTTGCCATTGGAGTAAACCTTTTCAGTCCGAACATTTGGATGTCCATCCACAACTGAATTTAAGATGGCCAACAACCCAAAAACGGTGATGAAACCAATCCATTCTGTAGATTATGAAGAGGACCTAGAATTTAGAACTGTGTTTACCTTGCTCTTGTTGAAGAAATGCAGCTCGGGGTGTCTAATGTAGCACGCCAAAAAGACCTGTGCCATCTCCGACCTGCTTTCGTTTGCAAATTAGTGATGTTGCACTGGCCTCAGAGAAACGGTGGTCTGACATAACACTTGAAAAGCTTAGACACACACCTTACAATCGCATGTTCCAACCTATTTTGATGATGGTCATGGTAATGCTAGCCACAGAACTAGCCCTACTGCCAGTGCTGGCCTGATCTGCTGCTAACATCTTTGCTGGATGAAAGGAAAACAACAAAGACAAATGTTGGATCCCCACTCACGTTCCGGAATGTGGCAATATCCAGACTATGAATGACTGCCAGACAGGTCCACAGCTCGCGGTCCTTGTCTTCGTCACTTTCTTCCTCGTTCCTCCATACTCCCACACCGCGCAGAGTTTCACTTTAATTTTAAGGCCTAGTCCACACGTAGCCGGGTTTTTTTTTTAAAAATGAATATCCGCCCCTCCGAAAACTTGCATCCACACCACCTCGTTTAAAAAAAAAAACTCTGTCCACACGTATACGGATAAATACGTTGTTAAGGACATGCCAGACCTGTAGGCGGCAGTACTTCCCCCGTTCTTAACCTCGTCCTTCATCTGTGGTCTTCCGCAAGGATCAGTAATTCCGCTTGCAAACACAAACAAGCAGAAAGCGCTTGGACAATTGATAAAGCGAGCGCAGCTCTGAGGGCATCCATGATGTCGGCTAGTGTAAACACAGGTCGCACACGTGATGTCAGCATTTTCTTTGTCACGGAAAGTGACGTTGCGGACCTTAAAACTCCGGTTTTGTCTGTCCACACGCAGACACCCAAAACGGAGAAAACGCAGATCTTCACTTTGGCCGGAGTTTTTAAAAAGACCCGTTTTCGTGTGAAAAAACTCCGTTTTCGTGTGGATGACAGGCCAAAACATAGAAAAATATCTACGTTTTGGCAGATCCCCGGCTACGTGTGGACAGGGCCTATATCTAGATCATCAGTTTGCTGAAGCTTAGGTTAGCGGTCTACCACATTCCAAGATGGAAACAATCTTTACCCAATTTAATAAAAGTTATAACTTGGTCAACTTCACAAATATTGGGCTAAAACCTTATAGCAAAGATTACTTTACAACATGTACTCTTTTTTTCAAGATTTGATCAAGACAGCTACTTCTCAAAAACGGATGACCTTGATTTAAATCTCTGGCTGAACGGTGGGGGACTTGTATTATTTTGAGGAGTCCTTTGATTTCCAAGAATAGTCTCTTAAAGTGTCCCTATCACTTTATAAGCACGGACTATTTTACAAAGTAAAGAGAGCTGATCTCTTGAAATAGTTTGTATATCCTTTAACCTTTAAACAATCTTTGTACGTGTGTTGCTGGTAAATTTCAAGACTGAAAAGGAGCATTAAATCCACCTTAAAACAAAAGTGTCTGATAAAGAGCTTATGTCTGTCAGCCATGCCCATCATCTTTAATGCAATTTAGATTACCTTGCTGCTATCAGGGTGTGTTTGTGGTCCTGTATTTGGCTTCCTCGCTACTATGGAAACTGCTCAACAGCAAGATATGAGCAGAGGGAGTTTGCCAGATTCTAGATGGAGCTGGAGCAGAGACACAGGAGCAGGGTGAGCCCAAACAAATCCATCTGTCAGTGTCTGTCTGTCAGACAGGGTGCAATGGAATTTGTCTTGGTGACACTTCAGCATGGGCATACTGACAACTACCACATTAAAAACGGTGCACTTAGTACAGAAACAGCAGAAAAACTGAGTAATTCCATCTTTTGGTCCTTTTTAAAACACAGAAAGTTTTTATTTACCTGCAAACTTCGTCAGGCTGACGCTGATGGTGGCGTCGCTTCCTTCTCCGTTTATCCGCGGGCAGCAAGAATTTATGGAACACCAAAAATACATAAACAAAACACCCCCCTTAGACCAATAGTAGACAGCATAGGTACACCAACATACAACATGGCAAGAGAAATCAGCAAAATCATTAGCCCGTTATTAGGAAACACAGATCAACACTGCAAAAATAGTATAGAACTGGCAAAAGAACTAAAAAAGATTACAATAGAAGATAACGACACACTCATCTCACATGACGTCACATCTCTGTTCACAAAAACACCAACCCAAAAAACCATAGACATAGTAGTTAACAGAATCAGACAAGACAAAACTTTACATAAAAGAACAAACCTCACAGCAGATGACATAGCACAACTGATAGGACTGGTAGCTAACTCCACTTACTTCACATACAATGGCATAAAATACAAACAACTGGAAGGCTTCGCCATGGGTAACCCGTTATCAGCCACCCTGTGCCAGTTTTTCATGGAAGACCTAGAACAAAAAGCCATAGACACCGCCCCCCCAGACTGCAAAATAAAACTATGGAAACGCTACGTAGACGACACATTGGAAATCATACCAAAAGGTCAAACAGGAACACTAACACAACACTTGAATAACATGGACGACACAGGCAACATAAAATTCACTTATGAGTTAGAAACAGAAGGCAGCATAGCATTTATGGACATGAAAATCACCAGGCAGACCGACGGGACCCTAAACATAAACACATACAGGAAACCAACACACACAGACCAATATCTATTATGGACATCAGAACACCCCACCATACACAAAATGTCAGTAATCAGAACATTATATCACCGAGCAAACATGATAACAGAAGAAAGAGACCATAAACAAGAGGACAAACACATACAACACGCTTTAAAGACCTGCGGATAGCCGACATGGGCAATAAACAAAGGAAAACAACAACAGAAAGAAAAGAACAACCTAAGCAAAGAACCAGAAACCCAGAAAGACAAGAACCAAAACCAGTGATAACCCTACCATACATCAGAGGCATAACAGAAAAAATAAGAGCAACAATGAAAAAACAACATAAACACACCAACAAAACCATACACAACAGTTAGAAACAGACTAGTGCACCCAAAAGACAAGATACCAGCTGGGCATAAATGTGGAGTCGTTTAGGAAATCCCACG